AGAAGTTTACCGAAAATATTATCAAAAAAGTGTTCTTGAAGATAATCTGATTATTTAACTAGGCCATTAGTACATCACTCGGTTTCGAGCAAAACTTTCATCCACGAACGGCAGTTGAATCCTTAATTACGCAACTCGGAATATGAGAACAGTATCGAAATGCAACATCAGTGCATAATTGATGGAGTTTGAGGTGAAACATCAAAAATGAATTTGTGTCAAGCGGTAAATAACGCAATGGATACGGCTATGAAGAGTGATCCATCGGCATGTGTTTTTGGAGAGGATGTCGCATTTGGTGGTGTGTTCCGGTGCTCAGTGGGACTTCAAGACAAATATGGTAAGAATTCATTCATTTCTGCAATAATCATTGCTTTGATCTGCTCATCTAATTTATTTTGTTCTTTTATTGTGTAGATATTCATTCGTATTCGTTTATCTTCATCATTTCTCTTGCGAATTTATTTTGCTATCAGCGGCCTGTTGCTGATAATCGTCATTTGATCAACCATTTCGTTTTTGTAACCGTTTTTGAAATTTGTTTGAGTTGACACTGAATTCTGATGTGTTATGCCCCACTGGTTTTTCGAATTAGGTCACATCATTCGTGTATTCACTGGATCCAAGCATCATAATTTGGGTTTTCTTTTCACGATCTTATGGAATGTTTTGTTTAAAAAAACTTAGTGTTTTGGTATCTGAAGTGACAAAAAATTACGATTCAGAACGTTTGTTCAATATATCATCATCAGTCATATTTGCTATTAATTAATGACCGTAATTGTTCATTCATATAAAATTGCCCGATACAAATTTGTGAAAATTCACGCAATACTCGCGTTCATAGTTTTGTTTGAATGCATGTAAAGAAGTGCAATTATTATGACAAAATCATACTACGTCATATTTTCATACATGTGTGCTTGTTGGATATAGTGAGCAGAATGAGTTTGTGAAATGGTTTGTAAAAGATATAATGGCATCCACCTAACTGATGTGTTAGTTCGTTTATCGGCGCACATATGGAAACAATCCACTCAAATCGAGTAATCATCTTGAGTTCTGTAAAAAATGAAACCTTATTTACCCTTAATCATTACTATCCAAATATTGCATCAGAGTTATCGTTTACAAAGGCGAGTTATTCGCACAATGATCGCAAAATTTTCTGGATGTTTTCACATGAATAAAATAGAATTAATAAGAAGGTTCTGAATTGTTTGAAGCAAGGTTCAATGAATTGGTATTGGTGAACGATAAATCAGATCAATGTTGATATGCAATCATTTATGAGAATATACTGAACCAGTAATTTTATTGTTCACGTAATTGGACAGGTAAAGATCGTGTTTTCAATACACCGTTGTGTGAACAAGGTATTGCTGGTTTTGGAATCGGTTTAGCCGTTGCTGGTGCAACGGCCATTGCCGAAATACAATTCGCCGATTATATTCTCCCAGCTTTCGATCAGGTTCATCGCTATTTTCTACCACGTTTATGTTACACTTTTTATAGACATTCGTCTTCTTGTTAAATTTCATTCTTTGACTTTATTGTATGGTGATATCATTTATATTGTCTCGTATTCAACAATGATTTTAAAGTGCCCAGATTATTCCATATCACTTTTTAAGGCTACAATGATTTCAGATCGTGAATGAAGCAGCCAAATACCGTTATCGAAGTGGAGGCATGTTCGATTGTGGTAAATTGACGATTCGTGCCACTTGGGGTGCAGTTGGTCATGGAGCTCTGTATCATTCGCAGAGTCCTGAAGCGTATTTTGCTCACGCACCTGGTCTAAAGGTTTGATATATTATAGTGCACACTTGTTAAGTTATTCGTTGTTCAGTTTAGTATAGAGGCGAAATAAAATATGGAAATGACTATTGCTAAAAGATCTACGAAATTCGATAAATGAATTAATGTTGATATAGAAGAGATATGGAGATGCTTAGATGAACATTCACAGACAGAAATCTGTTCGCTTCAGATAGTGATTCCTCGTGGACCGATTCAAGCGAAGGGATTGCTTCTGTCTTGTATTCGTGACGATAATCCGTGTTTATTTTTCGAACCCAAAGTGCTTTATCGTACAGCTGTCGAGGAGGTACCGGTGAACGATTATCAGATTGACCTGAGTAAGGCAGAAGTGATTCTTGAGGGTTAGTCGTCTTTAGTTCTTATTTCTTTCCGTTTCTCTTTATAACAACATTTGAAAGCCATCAGTATTTGATATGTTTGTAATCATGATTATTGTAATATATGTATTTATTTGATTCAATTGTCGTATGGACGTAAGCGAATCAGTGTTCAGATATGTTTGGTGCACATTCCATCCCGAGAGTGGATTTTTTTTCAAATTTGAAAGATTTCAAAATTTTCTCACTCATTCAAATAAATCAGTTTTAGGCAAAGATATAACAATGGTTGGATGGGGTACACAATTGTACGTTCTACTGGAGGCCGCTCAAATAGCCAAGGAACAGTTTGGTGCGGAATGTGAAGTAATCGATCTCAAAACGATTCTTCCATGGGACGTCGATACGGTTGCAAAGGTTCGTTCTCGATTCCCTTTTACTTTTTGATTCGCTTGATTAGTAGTTGAAACGTTTTTGATGAATGTTGCTCCATTTCAAAGTTCCACATTCTTCCAAAAACATGTTCAGTCTCTTTACAATCCATATTGCGATCAATTCATTCAGAGTGTAACAAAAACCGGTCGACTTCTCGTTTCGCATGAGGCACCCGTAACTGGTGGTTTTGCAGCTGAGATTGGGACAGCAATTCAGGTGACTTCATTTTGAATTACTTCACACTATATTCATTTATTTATCGATTTTCAATATCATTCTTTCCGACCAGCCAAATTCTTCGTTACAATTGTTTAGAAGTGTATAGCAGTCTGTTAAACTGTAGAATTTTGTAAATGTATGTAAAAGTACACTTTTAGGAGCGTTGCTTCCTGAATCTTGAGGCACCAATCACTCGTGTTTGCGGTTGGGATACACCGTTTCCACATGTCTACGAGCCATTCTATCTACCAACTAAGTGGAGAGTAGTGGATGCCATCAAAAAGCTGTCGCATTTCTAATTGTTTCATATCATATTCCCGCTTATTTCGCCCATCTACTCCCTTTCCCACCCACCCACATCGCTTGTGTTTCGTGGTATTGTGACAATTCATATCATTGTTAAGCCACATGAACGTCAACATTTTCATTCAGTAGATATTATATTATAAAGCCGATCATTAATTGTGCTTGTGGTTGTGACTTATTTGTACTGAGATTAGCTCGGTTTCGTGTATGTGTTTGTGTGATTGAATGAGTACAGTATAAGTTCTTTTGCTTTGGTGCATCCTGTGATTTCACATATGTTTTTTTCGAACCGATTTATTGACTAGAAAGCCATATCGTTTGAACGGTGTTCGTTTTGAGCTATTCTTCAAAACTAAAGTGATAAATGTTGACTGAAATGTTCACAAAAATGAAGAAGAAATAATTGCGTCAGTACTTTTTTATATCAAAATTACGCTTATTGTAAGTTATTTGGTGTAAACGCGTTATATGATGGTGCTTCTTGTGTAAATGCCCCCTGTGCATAGCACAAATGATTCTCATACTGCGTCATCGTTGGCTTCAGCCTTCTGTCCGTACAATATTAGATTCATCGATTAGTATTTGTGCCTGTGATGTGATTCGTTAATTGTGATCGTTTAGCATTTGTTGATTGCATAATAAACTTATTTTTCATTGTGTATCTTCTACAGCAATACACACATCCAAGTAACAGTCATTTCAAATGTTCTTAGCAAATGAATGCCACACAGCATAAGTTCCTCACATTTACGCAGTATTCGTCATGCGATTGCCCAAACAACATATGTTATCTGGGTGGCTGTAGTTATTGAGTCATTCAGAGATAGCCGATAGGTGAATAAATCATTCAGATGAATTAAGCATCCGGCACTTATTGCGTGCATGAAGTTTGATGGATTTTTATGAACAATGAGGAGAGTTTAAGCGAGATTGAGCAGTAAATGAAGGCGATGATCAAAGCAACAAATCGAGATGAAAGAGTTTGAGGGCGTAAAACATTTATAAAAATAGAAACTTATACAAAGCAACGGCAGCTGGTGATAACGAGCAAACAGACTTTAGTTTGATGCATTAGTAGGTGTGTATCAAGTTAAAATATCTTCTGAACGTCATTATCAACGTTTACGTAAAACAAATTAAATCCTTAGTTCAATGTTCTTTCATAATTTTCAATATTTCTTGTCGTATTTTACGCTTCCATATCGGAGTATTCGTTTTTACTCGGTTAGTTAACACAGCCACCTGTGTTAATTACCTGTGAATTAATTCAAGTAATTGGTGGATGTAATTTTATGTAAGGCATTAAGGAGAAATCATTGAGTTTCGACGATGAAAAAAGCATGTCGATGTGTTTTTGTTTGATGAAACTGTTTTGAGTAAGATGCGCCTACGAATACGACACGAAAATGGTTATGGGACTATCATTCGTCGCTTTATTGTGCAATTAATAATTTTCGAAGAAAGGACTAGATTGATTATTAACTTGTTTTCGAATGCAACGTTTACTTATTCGCTTAAACAACTGCTCAATAATATGACAATCAATGGACACAATCACTTTTCAGTTCATAATCCACTGTGTCTGCTTTACAACTGAATGGCTAACAGTAACGATCGCTATACAACAAGAACAACTGTAGTCACAAGTCAGGAACGAATACAACCGACAGTATTTGTTGAAATTGAGCGGCCTGAACTGGACATCGGCTACTTGAGAACGTTGTCTGGTCTTGTAAAATGTATCGCCATTGTGAGTGCAATTAGATCTTTCAAATTTTCTATACTTCATATAAATAAAATAAATTGACTTAAAAAATTACTGTCTGCTCCTCTCTTATTTGAACATAAAATATTACAGTAACCAAACACCTAGCATCCGATGTAACATGCTACCACTAGAAAGTACATCTTTTATTCAACATTTTAATAGCTAAGAAATAACTATCAGAGTTCGAAGTCACCGGTAATAATATAGAAATAAACCTCTATCACAGTCCATAACATGGAATTACATATTCTGACTCTTCCCATTACTATTTGAAAATAAAGAACAATTTAACCGGAAAAGTTTTCTTGTTGAGGCGATACAAAAAACGATCGTGAACAGACTACAAACGATAATGAGCAGTTTTTTTTTTGAATATTTGTTCAGCCAGAAATGGGTTTCGTAAACTCGTTCAGCACATAATCAATTCTCATATGCAATAATTCAAGGACGCGCAATTTCAAATATGGACTGAACTATAAATTATGCTCGAAAATGAACTAATTATATGATCATCAGCTATGGAAATAGACTGATTTTCGAAATCAATTCAGGCTTTGGATTTCGTTTGTTTCATTTGCCTATTGGTCGGTGGTCCTGGCTATTATACAGCTACAGGTGGAGCAACGTTTGTAGCAGTCACTGGGATGACTATTTCTTTGACACTTCTGTGTTTGTATCTGTTCAGAGTGGTCGACGTGCTTAGTCAAGTTCCATGGATCACATGCGTTCGTTTTTAATCGTATATATATAATCGTTTCGATGGTACAAAAAAAATCGTCAATTCACATTGCATATAAAGTATTAATTGTTTTGAATCCATGAATTTATTCGCATCTAAAAAGATGACCTCGGTACAATCTAACTGGTAAGTGAAGAGTACCATTGGATGCAGATTGCTTATCACTTCATGANATTACACAATAATATTTAATTGATAAATTCAGGAGATGATATTCTGTTTCATGTGGACCGTATTGTACTTCATTTGCGGTTGTGTGCTAGCGGTTGCTGCTGCACAATTGCGTGCAGTAACTGGATTCGGTGCCGCGTCGGTTCGTTTTTGGCTGCATCTTACAGTTGTCTCCCTTTGCTTTGAAACGGCAAAAGTCATCTTTTTTTTTCGCAGACATTTTTTAGTCAACTATCACATGAGATTGCAAAAAGTTTCGATAAACATTAGCAGTTATTCAACTCGTGAATAATCACAATCACGAAGATTTAGTGATGTGCATCACGCACAACATTTCATTTCATTCTGCGATAATTATGCGAACAATCCACCAAAAGCATTTGCTAACAAAATATTTCTATCGATTCAAGAAATGAGCAAAATTCAATAACTAATTTCGATTTTTCAGTTCTTCGCATTTGGTGCAATGTGTACGTACGCATTCGACTGCTACCTAAAATTTTTGGCATGGCGTAATAACGAAATTGCCACAGGTGGTGGCCCAGTTGACATCTACGGTGATTCAGCAAATGCTGAGACTGGTCTACGCAAAAGAATCAACGTTACTCAATCATAGCTTCTGAATTTCTCAACGTGCTATTTATTATCTACAAAGTTTGATGATTATTACAAATGTATATAATGTGTATGCAAACATTGATCATTTCTTAATGATTATTATTACTATTATATTATTACTACTATTACTATGTTATTATTATTATCGTTGCTGTTGTTGGTTTTATTGTAACCTGTAACCAATATATTGTTTTACAATAATGAATATTATCAACTGCTTATGATTTATGATATGAAAGATGTAAATATTTATACACTTTCTGAGGGGATTTCGGTGTATACGATGAGTGATCTGTATGTTTCTTTCGTGGAAAATTGCGCATTCAATGCGAAATTATTCCTCGTTGATTGCATAAAGATTACTATTAAAGGTAGTTGTTTTCATCCGTTTACATATAATGGTAATACAACATTTTCCGTATTCTTTTCTTAATCTCACACAAACTCTTTATTTAACCAGTCAATCTCATTTCATTGCAATTCAACAAGCAAGTTCTGCAATATTCAAAAGTATACTGATCAATATTCAAATATCCGATTCTCGAAACGATTAGTGTCGAGGGAGTTAATTTGTCATTACTCACGTGAATATTATAATCAGCTGTAATGCAAATGGGATGTTTGTTCGGTACTTGCAAATCAAATGATATAAACCGAGAGAATATGATAAAAATGAGAGAAGAGGCTTAAGGTCGTTTAATGATCGCAGTGATCTATCAATTGATATGGACAAACAGCGACTGATTTGTAGTATACTGCATACGACGCATGTGTGATAGAGGAAGTAATATATACCGGTTGTGCACTCTTTTCTTTGCTTTGCTTTCATATCATATTTGTTTTTGGCGGTCGGTTGGATTATGCGCTTTATGAATACTATTCCAAATTTGCTTTTATGTAAGTGAGTAGTCGCTTATCAGAAATTGTTTTCATCAGTTTGTATGATCGACTGCAATAACAACAACCATTGATAACGTTTTGCGTGTCAACTGATTCTTCTTATCAATCTTATATTGATAACAACTACTCAATGCTAATATTTTTTATGGTTAATCGAGTTGTTCATAACAACATTCTAATCTAGTCGGTAACTGTATCCTTTCCAAGTGCTTAGCAGTTGCATATTGTCAGCAATAAAACCACTAGTGTTATTTTAGAAGTATCTGTGGGCTTTTTTCTTGTCTTTCAGTGGCGTCTTCCACTCAAAAAATTCTGAACTAGAAGAAATGTAAAGGAGAGTGAAACTTCACTGTTCTAGCGATGATTTCAATTGATTGTCGTCTTCAGTTGTGCAAAAACAACATTCTGATATTCGGCAATTCAGTTAGGATAGAAACGAGTATTTATGGTCATTTAGTAAACGGTCTAGTTAATGCATTGTGAACGGTCTTATCGGAACGACTTTTTTGCAGTGTGAAAACATTTAGTTTCGTTTGTGCGGTTTGTTCGTGTAATTTCAATCTAGATAGTCATAGTTTTTTGATTTTCGTTTCTGAATTCATATCATGTAACTTTTGAAGCGAAACTTTTTAAGAATCAGCGATCATCATCGTCATTAATGACTCATTTTGAGTAAGAAAATATTTGAACGGCTTTAGGGGCACTTCTTCATCTTTCATATTGCGGTCGTTTTCCCGACCTGGATAAAGATTGTTCATATTCATAGAAGCAGTGTGCTCTGAAAAGTAAATCGACTAGTGCTTTCTGTGCTACATTTCTGTACTTCAGAGCACGCAGTTACAATATAGCATAGTGCTAAATTATTTTTAGCTGAAAAAATACCAAAATGGCATCAAATGGATCGGAGACGAGTATTCGACAGAACTATTCAGTTGAAGTCGAAGCTGCGTTGAACAAACAGATCAGTGTTGAATTGTTCGCCAGCTATACTTATCTCAGTATGGTCAGTTAGTAATTTAGCTGCTAACAATAATAATCTTTCATCGTTCATCAAACATCACTGATGTCAAAAATATTTAACAAAAAGTTTTTCACAGCGTTCTCACTGCAATATTTACCAGCGATTATAGGTTTCGTTTTCAGTTTTCAAGATGCTTCTTAGGAAAATTTCGGCCCGGTGAGCTCCGTGGGGCAATAAATTCAGTTATTTACTGATACGCAAGATTTTGTTCGTTATTCAGAATGTTTGTGTGAATGATACATTCACCATTAATCACCTGAATTGCAGGCAACATATTTTGACCGTGATGATGTAGCCTTACTGAACGTTGCAAAATGGATGCGTAAACAAAGTGAGGAAGAACGAGAGCATGCCATGATGCTAATGAAGTATCAAAATAGTCGTGGTGGTCGAGTTGTTCTTCAAGATATCAAAGTATACTTAAAACTTGTTATTTTCTAAGATGATCAACACAGCCGATATCTGTGCTAAATGCTCGCTCGCAGTATTCTGAAGAAAAAACCAAAGCCAAAGTCAAACGACTCCAGAAAATTTTCACGCGTTTGTCATGCATATTCCATCTTGCATTCGAAGCTAAATATTTCGTCGGAAGAATCATTAGCATCGTTATTTTCAAATGAACATTCTCCAAAAAATGATTCTCAACAAGCGTTCCTTGAATCGATGGAATAGACAGAGGCTAAGTATCAGATGTATAGCATTAATAGGGAGAAGAAATCATGCGATTCAATTATTCCAGAAGCCAGTGAAGGACGAGTGGGGAAGTTTGCAAGATGCATTCAAATCTGCATTGGAGTTGGAGAAATTCAACAACACTTCTCTCCTCGATTTGCACAGCTTAGCTTCATCGCATAACGATGCACATATGAGTGATTTTCTCGAAGAGCACTATCTTCGTGATCAGGTCTTTATGCATATTCGAATGTTCCGAATGAATTTTATTACAGTTTAAATACAATCACACCTTCAATTCATCGTTATTTTTAGGTGGAAAGTATCGAACAGATTGCGAAGTTTATAACTAATATCAAGAGAGCAGGACCGGGACTTGGAGAGTATATTTTCGATCGCGAAAATTTTGATGATTGAGTACCGTATACGATCATTCATATTCAACAGTTATCTGTCCATTTTGTGCCAGTTCCTTCTATAGTGATGCACATTTTGGAATGGTAGTTGTTGTAATGTTTTTTTTTGCAGTTACAGAATGTTTCAATGTTCCATTGCATATCTTTTTTTTTCGGGAAATTGTTAGTATTAGCTAGTGTTATAGCACATTATTTCTTCTTTATCTTCGAATAATTCTAAATAGTTTCCGAATAATTCTGAATTCTTCAGTTCATTTTTCGATATTGACTGTTGTATATTTCATAGAAAATTTTCGTTTTCGAGATGCAACAACGTGGAATCGGTTGCAAACATTTAATCAGCAATCAAAAATTTGTAATAGTAATATCACAACTGTTGTTTCGAGCTTGGTTAAACTCATAGCGATATAGCCATAATTTGCGACATAACATCATTATTCACTTGAGATGTACTACCTCATGTATGCAATTTGGTAATTATGCTACCTCGTCGGTTCGCTGTTTGTTCGCCATACGTTTTTGCTACGATTTTTGATGGTATTCGTTTGTCATATTCAAATAAAATTATTACTTTTTATTTTGACGTTTTCTCATCGATTTTATATCTTTTACATTTCACTTTCTGCGTTCATTCTTAACCATTCGCCTCAGTATAATCTTTTTGGAACGTCTCAGCTAACGAATGTCTGTTCAGAAATTGTACTAAAATACCACCTGGTTTATGGATGGACAGTTTTGAGGCGAGCTGACGTTCTCATAAATTGAGAAAGTATTCGGAAAGGTTACGTTCATATCCATCTCGGGTAGTCATAGAATTGAAAGAATGTGATAAGCTGAAATGCGGTCGAAATCACTTTCAGTAGTCGATATTCATGGAATCCATGTTCATGAATTCATTTCAGATCAACGATTGAGCGTAAATGCTAGCTTATGAAAGATATATTTGAAGTATGAATGGATAATGAGAAGAACTTTTAAAATAGTAAAATTTAACCTAATTGTAAGTGAAACGTCATCGAGAGTATATGATTGGGTTTCCGATAATGGGAGAAATCTCACAAACAAACAAATTTCATACGTTTTCCATCTCATCAAGGCTAAATGACGTTAAAAATGCTAAAATTTTCTCCTCTCAATCCGCCGGAGTTTAATTTGTACAAATAAAGAATTTTAAATGATCAATCTCGTCGCTGGCGTTGTGATTGGAAATCAATAAATCAAAACAAAAAATGATGATTGTCATTCATTACTTAGTGAATTATTCGAAAAGTAACTTAATTAATTTAACAATTCATTTGAAGCTGAAAAAGTTGATAGATATAGAATTCCGATTCACGATAAATTTTCTTTACTGATGCTCTATTAAATTGTGTTGGCTAATGAAGAAATTCGACATGAGACATTGAGTGGTACAGAAAGAAAGGTAGCCGGATAATTCAATGAGGAAATATGAATTTCAGATCATAATCCCATTCGGTCACTAAACGGTTGAAATGAGTAATGTTGTGTTGCAAACGAGATTGTAGCGTTATTGTGTTTGGAATCCTTTGAAGATGACGGACAGAATCAATTGAAATGCGTATATGTCTGATTGTTTAAAAGTATGATACGATACGCGTTTCATGCCAACTAGGACTCATTCTAACTAATTTTGCTAAAATTCGATGCTTTTTCATTTTTTAATTCTCCGGATGGAATCATTCGATTGTGAAAAGTTAATATCGATGTGATAATTGTTGCTTGTACTATAAACATAACGTAGCGGTTACCATTCATGCTCAATTAACTTGTTTTCTATTCGCATTTTCGTATTTGAGGTTCACGTTTCCGCAAACAGGTCACTGAATTTTTGCAAATGTTTATTGGCGATTGTTTGAAATCATCTCTGTCATCTTACAGTACACTCTGCATCAAACCTGAGAAGAAGTACTGCTTGATATTTTCGGAATGGGACAGTTCAAAAAGTGTTCAATCGCCTCTCCATTTGTCCTTCTTTGTTCGTAAAAACATCAAATATTGATCCATATTGCCCACCAATAATTCATTTGGCCGCGGGAATAGTTTCGCTTGAGTTAACGAATTCACAAAGTTAATCGTTTTGCTTTCACAGCAAGTTGTTTCCATATTAAAAATGCATAGTGATTATTTCACTCGTTCATAGCAACGTTTTTTTCCAGTTGTTTCTGCCACACTTCTGCAATCTGGTGTTTAGTGACATTTATTTGACTAATTCAAAAGTTTTGCATGAAGAAAATGGTAAGATCGGATAATAACGCAAGTATTATATCTTGTTTGCAGTTTCGTGGTTAAGAATGCTTTTGATGTATTTCAAATGATAAATTCAAAAGAACGCTTTTGATGTACAAATGATAAATTCAACGAACAAATTCAAAAATAAGAATGCATAATGTTTACGGTAAAATGCATAAATCAACAGCTGCATTCGAATCCGTTTACTTCATCTTCGTTTCTCATCCCACACGCCTCTTCTTCAATGGGAAAAAATCGATTATCAACTAGAGAAGAACTTCGTGCCTACATTATAAGAGTTCTTTGCTTAACTGCTGCTATCGTTTAGAATGACTGACTCGCAAATGAACGTATACATATTCAACGAACGAACATTTGGTCAGTTAGAAATTTTTTAGTAATTTCTTCATAAGATGGAGCAATGTTACAGAATCTGCAATTATTAACACTTGAAGATGTAAAGCGATCATTTCTTCTCAATAACACAGTTACGTACACAAAAACGACATGAGTTAATTTATGAGCCTTTTATTGTGCTGAAAGCATCTACATCTGAAAGTGCAATGGAATGAGATTGCTTAGTTGAGATATTTCGAAATGCGATTTAGTCCTTGGGCGGCGGAAGTGAGCTCAGTTTGTTTTCATTCGATAAATCGACGACGTGTATGACTGTCTCGTCAATAACAATGAAGATGGCACTTGTTATTCGTATTCCAATTTCGGAAATATTTCGAATCCGACAACAACGAGTGCTACTAGTTCATTGCATGTGCGCAAGAGTCAGTTGTGCGAAATAGCATCGAATTTGCGATGTGTACACAATGCTTGGTTGAGAGATATGATGTGACTAGGTTGCTGAGTAGTCAGCCAGAAAAAAGAAACGCTTTTATTATATGGCATTTACATCAACTCCTTCATAAAATCCTGACTTCAGTCAACGGTATTCTGCCATCATTCAAACAGCATTCACATGGGTCTTTGATTCGTTCATCGCTGTGGGGCTGTTAATGGTCATATTTCAGCAATTGTTTCAGCGATTAACCTACGTTATTTGTGCCCGTAAAAGCAACACGATCCTTATTGTTCAATCGTACGCTTTATATCAAGCAACATCGCGCAAAAAGATTCATCTGAGCATGAATTTAAACGTTCCTCATTTTACTAATACATAATTTTAAAGAGTGTTGCATATGACTGAATTACAGCGAATTGAATATTTTGAAATGTATGCAGCTAGCTGATCTTTTACAGATGTCGAAAATTTGATTTCATTGTGCTTCGTTTTGATTATTTCGCTTTCGTAAAAGTTACTAACGTTGAATTTTGTTCATAAGGGAGAGAGTGTGTGTGTTTTAAATTTTTGCAGATGTTTTGCGTTATTCATTTTACGTTCGGTTGTATTTTGAGCATTCAAGAATGAGTTGAAGTGCTTTCAAGTGCATTTATGTTCAATAATTACAGCAGCCGAGCGAGCAATTGCCCTTTTATATGAGTTCGTTGCGCAATGTGCAAAGCATGCTCATCTCTTATTCATGATTTCATTGAAACGCGATCACTGCCGTATTCTGAAACTTGCCATTCCTTACATTGCCCAATAAAATTTTGTTTCTGCACGGAATAGTCCTTTTTCGTGCATAATTAGACGACAATCTTGAATGGCAATTAATCATAGGTTATGTGCGGTTTGATCTTATTCTTTCTAAGTATTTCATAAGGAAATTTTCTACACAAATTTCCTTTCTAATGAAAAGCATGAAATCTTCTGACAATAAATCTCAACGAATCAACGAGTTTGTGAAGCAATTTTATTATGATAACATGCCTCTTCGAAAATGAACTGAGCTAAAGTAACAAAATTAATGCGTTCGATAATAAGGAAGCTAGACAGGAAATAGTCGTGATGAAGTGGTGAAATCAATATTTGCTTGAAGCACTACTACTAACAAGCAGTGCTGACAACTATTGAGTTCGCTGGTTATTGTCGTTTGAACGCGATTAGTGACGTAAACGTAACAAATTATATTCAAGTACGTGTTTAATTGTGCACATATTTTGAACATATTTAATAGATATGGATAGAGCGATATGCATAATATAGTTGAAGCAATTCAGTTCAGCTTTTTTATGGCGTTACGTTTCTTTGAGTTATGACCTAGTGAATGGATATAACTGCATAAGCAAGTTGACCTCGCATCATATTCAAAGTATCCCTCCTAAGTTTTCGAGATCTCATCTCACAATCGTCAATTATAATGCTGATTGTGTGCTCTTCAATACATCGTAGATAAATGCCGCCAAAAAGTTATGTCACCCCGAAAATATAAACATTTGATTATGAGCCACACAAATGATTTTCCAAACATCAACTCATGCAGTCTACGAATTTGCTGTTGCACTTCGTGTTGAAGTGTTGAACTGATTGGCCTTGTTCTTTATTTGTCAGAATCGTTTGTGACTGAACATCTAAACGTCATTGCCTTCGGCATTTCAGATTCTTTATTATATGCAATCATGCTTGAAACGTTCTCATAAAATGTACAGTATCCATTCTTTTTTATAGATATAAGCTACTACTGAATAATTTCTTATTTGAATGCGGCATTTACACATTTTCCCACATTTATTTATAATTTCGTCAGTATCCAAGAATCAACAGCACACAACAACATTAGCTTCATAATGATGAATCCTTCATTGTGTATGAATTTGGTCGCATGAATTTGATTCCATTTGGATATTATTATGGAGAAT